GGGGGGGGGGGGGGGGGGGGGGGGGGGGGGGGGAGACGAATTTGGGCGATGAGCTATTCGCTTTTTATTAGGATTTAACAAAAACTGCCATTTTTTTGGCATCACTAATATTATTTATAAATGAAAATTAGAGTTCCCTTTCTATATTTTCATAATTATTCAGGGTCAACCATCTTTCTAAAAGTTATTTGCAGGGGCTTCTTTCATCCGACCATTCCGATGAAAGAAGGGGCTTGCATCTGAATAAAAAAACCAAAACACAGTAAGCAATGGGTTCTGATTTCGAGCTTGTGGGTTCCTACAATGTAATGTAGATTTCACAAACCTGAATTTAACATCCACTTTCAAAAACAACAATTTTCTCAATCACGCATTACTGATTCATATATATATATATGTATATGATAATACAGACATATTTATATACATAATATACATGTACATGCACAAACAAGAAGCATATGCACACATGCACGCGTTCAAACAGGTGCGAATGAGCCTGCAGTAATGCGTTTGTGAATTATGCAAAAAAGGCAAAAATAGGCTATAATGAGAGGAATGCCAAATTGGCTGTGACCTAATGAACCAGCCTTCCGAAACTGGGTCAAAAGTGAAGAGGACGAAGTACGTGGTAGGCGGTCAATAGGCGATCATAACCGGCTTTTGTTGCGATTTGTGTTATTGGTTCTCAGAAGGGTCGTGTTGAAAGTGATATCTGATAGATAATGAGCGCAATTTTAGATAAAGTTATGAAACACCAGAAAGGGAGAACCGGATCAAATCATCGATCAGTCAGAGCTGTAGAAAGTGCCACGACATCAACGAACTGCTCTTGGTGAGGCTGATTGCAAGCTGATAACATCACGTCTTTCCTTGCCCTCTCCTCTATCCAACAAATTAAAGGCGATCTGGAAACCATTTTTGCTGGATGACGGATGAATTGTAGGTGAAACTGCCCCAAAATAGTGCTGATTGGTGGCAAGACAAAATATTTAGGAGTGCAAATGTTGTGCAAATTCTTTCGCGGTTCTCCAGGTCATCCTTTGCATTCCAACAATAATTCGATCGCTGCAGCCGTTTTGCGCGCACGCTCAAGAAACTACTGCGGGAGTTCCTTATCTGCCCGATCCTTAACGGCACCTGTTCACCCCCTGCGCCTCAAGATAACTCGAATTTTGCAATGATCCCGAGAAACAGGACGTTTTCATGCCTACCACTGTTGCCCCCTCCAGCACCTATTCCGTGCTGAAATTTTAGTCAAATTTGAACCCGCAACATAAATCATTTACTTTACGAGTACATGTAGAAGTGCTTGTCCTAGGTTTTAAAGTCCGTTAGAGCATTTGGCATAACTGACTTCATAATGACAACAAGGGCTTCAAATTAATAGCCCGAACGGTTTATTTGGAAATCCGCTGACAGAGTGTCTTATTAGAAACCCGTCATTATGCAAATCCAGGCCACACTTCTACTACGTTATCTTCCTGTATAACTTGGAGCTCGAACGGATTTTCACAAAGCCCAAGGGGCTTCTTGCAGAGTGCTGCGGACTGTTGCAAACAATCAAAGAATTTTATGGCATTATCAGTGCAGCTGTTCACAAGAAAAAGCAAATTGTTGTTAAGTATGAAATCACAGTATTGTCAAGCAACCCGGGAATGATGAATTACAGCAGAAGCAACAAGCGATAAGTGAAAAGTTGATAAGTAGTAAAGGTGGATAATGTGTGACAGGCAGTGAGATGGCGGATTTGTTGTAGATGGTAAACAGTGGTGACAACTCCAAGCAACAACCATTTACAGCACTGACACAACCACCACCAGCAACGGCATAAGTGTTGCTAGAAGCGCAAAAATTTGGGTCCTTTTGCTAAATATCGCTTCTAACTTAAGCAATAATCAACACACAAAGGAATAATAAGGAGTGGCACACATCTGATCGAAGTGGTAAGCAAGTGGATGCATGCTGATGCACACTACATTGCTACACCTTTTAATGTACAAGCTTTAAAGAACTCTAAATTAGGGCCAAATTTTTGCACTGCCTTAGTTCAGCCGCCTAATAACAAGAGCGGAAAACAACTTAACAAATATGATAAAAAAAGTATGAGCTTACTCTCTGCAATAACAGCGCCCCAAAATTTTGCTCCTGCTTCAAAGTAACGACATTTCTTTTGCTAGCAAAAGAAGTCGAGCTGCGCCTCAGCACGTTCTGACAATGGTAGATCTAGGCAATTAAGGCAGACACTCTTGCGAATCAATATCAAACGTCAGTAGTTAGTTATAACGAAAAGTGACCCATGAAAAGTCAAAAAAAGGGAACGGATGTAAGCTCTGTTTAGGAATAAGCAATTACAAAGAAACATCACATTTAATCTAGTCCGCTAATCCGAAAATTTTCTTTTGCATTCTGAACTGCAAAAAATTTCTTCATTTTTAACGACGAACCTTTGATTCAGTAACACTTTGCCGCAATTCCTGCACCTGCAAGATATTTGTGCGAAATTCTATCGTTACAATCAACAAAGTTGCCGTATTACTGTACGGTGCAGTACAATCACACATCCTGCTGCCTGGCTCCAACTACAAGGCCGGTCGAAGCTTCTTCAAGCACAGATTATCCAGAAAGAGACTGTGAGGTTGGAAGAGCTGTAAAAGCTTACAGTTTAGGAATGAAACACAGACAGGACAACAGCTAATGCACATACAGCCCCGCTTATGTGCGTATCTAAATTGGCACTTGTTGCTTTCCCACTGCTGTCAATATTCGACTGTGTCCCTCTCATCGGCGGGCCGACAGGGCTAAACAAACTATGAATGTTAACAAACAGAAGACTCCAAGCCCCCAATTCTTCCAATTCCCGAGCCAGTGATATTCATAGTTTGCAACTTAAAAATTTCTCAAACACTTACCGAAAGCACTGATCACCGGCATGCCAGTGCAAGTCTTTGAATGAGATGCGCTGCTCATCTGGCGCTATTTTATTCCCGCAAAATCGACAGGTCTGAAAGAGAGTTCTTATTATGCTGTTAGACAAGAAGTGCTTGAAAATGGAAACCACACAAAGACAGATAAAAGTTTTTAATCTGCAAACTCGCTGCCGGTGTCGCAAAACTCGCTCCCTCTTACTACAGCATGAAAGTCCCACCAACAACAGTTATCCGCTATCAAAAAGTGTAAACAGTACCCAGTTTCGTGAATAAGAAAATAAGTGAAGATGACTGGGCTTCGTGGACAGTGTGCATCATCGATTTGCATCAGCACTGGAGATTAAAGGAGCAAGAATGAAGATGAGTTCCAGGGCTCAATCTGATTTCGACTGCTGGCTCTATGTTATAATAAATAGAGGACAAACTATACCTTGGCATATCGATTTAGATAGCAATTAAAACAAAAAGGCTGCTCAATTTTCATCATGTAACGATGGCCGCCCAATTGCATATCGCAGCCAAAGCAACAAAAATGGTCCAAGTGCCAGCTTTTGTCTTCAGCGAATGTGTACTCTTTGGAGAAAATAAGCTGAAATCAAACAAAGTCACTTTTGCAACGAAAATTGGATTCTAATACTGACTACGAGTCCTGGAAGCACTCGAGCTGCATTTTCTAAGTACGCGAAAATAATAAATTCCTCTGAATTTCTGTTATCGCTAAAAGATGTTACCAAAAACGATGGAAAGGTAAGACTAAGAGGGAGATTTGTGAACCTCTGACAATGCATCCCCTAAAATTTGCCAAATGAAAATGGCTGCCCTTGCAACACGACACGCAGCGAATTACTGTCATTTCAATGTTTGTCCGCAGCGCGATTCACCGATGCTTTTGCAGAAAGTTACCAACTTAAATTTGCAGGAAAGAATAATTATCGAATTCGCGAAACTGTTTTACCTAAGTGTGTTTCCTGCAGAAATAAGAAATCTGCGATCTTTGCCCTCAGTCATGTGCCAAATTACCAATCTATGAACTTTTTTGTTTTTTTTTTTTTCAGAGAAGCTCACTTTCAAGCCAATTCTGCAAAGACCAGAAACATCTATCAATCCTAATGGATGAGTAAAACCGTTCCCTCTATGTATTGCAGCAATCATCACTATCCGTTCATAACAGTTGATCAGCGAAAAAAAAAAAAGACTGTTCATTTTACTCATGTGAAGCTACTGGCGGACTGTGACTGAAAAAGTGCACTTCAGGATTTCCTGAATACTTTTGCGATCTGGAATAGATTTGCTGGATTTTTTGTGGTTCCCTCAGGAATCGCGAAATCAATTTTTCCTGCTCCAGTCAACTATGAAGATAAGCAATTTTAACTCAGCTTCAAATTGCATTGATAATACCCCATACTAGCAGCCTGACTACGGCCAACCAAAATTCGTCCAAAATGGGTTTGATAACACAGCTCAAAAATGGGGACATTCACAAATCTATCAAATAATGCACTTATCAGCTTATCGTACAGGCTTATAAAATATGCAAAACCAAAGAAAATACATTCACAGAGACTACAAATATGCATATTCTACAAGAAAGCGATGCCTGGTTCAACACTTCGGACTAACCTCGTCGCATCCCGAACATCTCGGATAAACGGAATCACCAAAATGACGGCCACAATAATAAACACCGTCTTTATAAAAATACAGAAGATCTACGAGCCTCTGATTGCACGTGTAACATTTGAAACAATTGACGTGCCATATATCCTGGAAAAACACGCATTTCTTTTTGTTCACTGAAAAATTTGATAAAAAAAAACCTTACATCCTGCGATCCATGGTCTGTCATCACTGCGATTTCGCCCAGCTGCAGCTGCTTCCCGCAATCTCGACATTTCTGTAAGATTTTCTAAACGATCTACGCAAAATTTCGAAGTATAATGTAGAACGTGATAATATTTCGAGAAAATCTCACTCACTTTCTTGTCTCTTATCTTACTCCACGTATCTAACAGTAAATAACAGAAAGTACCGCCAGAAAATAAAGAAAATGAAACTAACGCCATAAGCTTCTTGTGAGTTGCTCGAAGCAGCATTATCACAATCATTTGACCCGACTGCATTTCGGCTGTCGTTTGAGGGCATTTCCGCAAATTCAACCAGTCTGCCCACTCCAACAACCTTAAACACAAAAAACAGATTTCATTATCGTTCACACGAAACAAAAATCGCATGAAATTTTAAGCGAAAGAACTTGAATTGTGATCAGTGAAAGACACACACACACACACACGCACACACACACACAC